TTTTCAAATTTAATAAATCTAAATCCGAAATTATTCAATTTGAAAATCATAAAAATATACAAGAACCAAATTAAAAATACTTGATTCCCAATTATTTAACATGAATAGGCTCTGATACCACTTGTTAGAACTTTATTAAAACTTAAACTTTATGATCTTGCCAAGATCTTCATGTCAAATCATCAAGAAACTGAATTAACGCGGAACATACCTTAATCAATTGATTTCTGACTTGATTAATGAATCTTGAATCTGGATCTGTAAATCTTCAGTTTGGTTGCTTCAAATCTCCATCTTAATTCCTGATTGTGGGTTTTATAGATCTTCCTCTTCATATGCTTTCTCTTGTATTCTTGTGTTGATGAGATGCCAAAAAGAATGAGAAAATGACACATGAATTGGGGTCCATAACCCTTTATATATTTCCATATGTATTCGGCCCATCGTCAAATACAAACCCTAATGGATCTGGTCTCTACACATATAATCTGGCTCACACTTTAATTAGATGCTTAAAACCCAATTACTTAATTTTTTATTAGATCACTTTAATTTTGGGCTTAACTTTAAGATAGCATTTATACACAGTTAATTACATATGTCGGCCCATCACGGGAAATTAAATAATTTCCCAACAGTTATACCTGTCCTCGAACACCAGGTCTTACTGTGGAACCACTTCAAGCTAACTGAGATTGCAGAAAATCAATTTGAGAGTTCATAATAGTGAGCTGATCTCCAAATGATTTCATTTGTTGCGAGTACATTTCTTTGCATTCTTTCATGCACTCTTCTTTTATATTTTTGACCAGGCTTTCCTCATGATTTGCATCAACTACACGACAATCGTCATAATCTGAATCCCTCGACAACATTTTCACTGCAGTTTCGTTTCCATTCAAGAGTCCTTGCTGAATGTAAATCAAAATAAAAATCAAATAAACTTCTACCCAATCAACGAATGTATCTAGTGGTTCTAACACTCTTTAGATACACAGTTTAACAATGACACGTATGGAACTTATAAATTATTTATTTCTATGTATTACAACAATTTGTTCAATAATCACCTTGTAAATGGCACCAAAACCACCTTGCCTCTTATCTTTTAAGTATTCAACAGTAATAATCTCATCGTCCGCTTGACCAACTATTCCAAAAAAAAAAAAAAAAATTAGGAAAATTTTAGTTGAAACGAAACTTATGTATTTAAAAGTAAAACCAAACTTACTTTCAAGTTTCTCACTTCGTTTATGGTTTTGTTTCAATCTTAGGAAGGTCAGAATGGAAAGAGCTAGTATTAGACATAAAGCAAGTGGAATGGTAATTATGAGGACTGTTCGAGTCGTATTGTCTTCCTTCCCTGAAAAATCCAAATTAAATCGTGTTTATACCATTTTTAAGTTCATTGAATAGAATCTCTTTGTGATATGACAAATTAAAGCAAAGAATGTAGAGTTCCAAAATGTTCACTTATTCTTGAAAATAAATGGGATGATTTCATTGAATGGTCCACAACTAAAGATACTGATTAAAGCCCCCGGCTGCAACGAGTAGCTAGTCAATATTCAGGGGGCAAAAACCGACTAATTGTTATGATCGCCTTCTTAACCAAAATCCCCAAATCCCCTGCACCTTTTTTTTTTACGACATTTAAAATAGTTATGATGGCCTTCTTAACCAAAATGTATTGAATACTTACTTGGCGGCGCTTGTACTGGTTGTGTAGGTACAGGCTCGAGTATTCTAACCATAGTCTCGTTGTAGAATGGATCGGTTTCAAAACGAAGCTAGCAACTAGGCCTAAGGATTCTAACTCCTCCTGCCCCGCTGCAACAATCTTGAATAATTAGTGCAGACTGTTTTAAACAAGCACCACAATCCTCTGGGCTTATATCAGGCGTGCACTGCTCAAATGCATAAATTATACGAAAATCTGGGCAAGCTCGATTGGCTGCACCAAATTTCTTAGGTGAGCTACCATAAGTGGCCAGGTTACGGAGACCATCCAACAATATGTTGAGCTCCTTGTAAAACTTGTCTTGATTCGGGACACTTTCCATACTATAACCCACCTTATATGGGAAATATGCAAGAGTCCCAAGTATGGACTCGTTGGAGTATCGTATCATGCTAAATTCGTGCCATAAAATTGCTTCCTTTTGATAGAATTCAAGGATCATGGCTGTTGCATTTTCGATGTAGTCACCACATTGATAAGGCTGAAGATCTGCTCTACAGAGCGCAATAGCATTGACTCTATTGGGATTTTCTCCCAAGGAGGCGTTGTGGAATCCATTGGTGTCAATATTAGACGAGACCGTGGAAAGGAGGGTATCGAGGTTCATCTTGTATGTGCTATTATTGGTGTAATTACCATTGTTTAGACATTCGTAATGGAAAAAAATTGGAGTTGGGAACTGGGATTTGACAAGAAAAACAAGGTTTGTAATGCTGAGAAAAATGAAAGGAAAAGGCCATTTCCAAGAACTCATTACAACAGTGTATGTCTCTAATATGGAGACTTGAGAGAATGCAGTACTGCTAGTATGAATAGATATACAAACTTGAGTTAATTTCAAGACTACTCTGTTGGCAAGAAATTATTTTTTGCTATCATGAAAATAACGAAATTCTGGGTTAAAAACTCTATTAGTCACCAAACTTTCAAAATGTGTCAGTTTAGTCACCAAACTTGTTCATTTGTTTCGTTTCGCTCACTTATTAGTGTCTTCGGCCTGGATTAATGTCAATCCACAATGTCTTTAACACTTTTAACTCTCCACATAAAGGCGTATTATGACGTTAATGGCATTAAAATCTAGAGATTGCTCCATTTTGCCCTAATTCGATTTCTTGTATTTGTGTGACTAACATTAAGTTTAAATTTGAATAGATGAAAAAAGAAGATTTTTTAGCATTTTAATGTCCTCTTGTCAGTTCTGATTGTCACACTTCAGTAATTCTGTTAAATCAATGAACTTAACTGAAAGAAATGTAGATGATCCTCCATGCAACAAAAAGGTTAGGTGACTGAACTGTCAAAATATGATCACCAATTGAGTTCTCAACCCATGAAATATCAAACCAACTTTTGTTTTGACTTTGAAAATCGACATTTTTTGCATTAAAATTTCAAAATTCATCTAGAGGGGGTCCATAACGAAAATAATGAGAAGAGGACTAATCCATCATTAATTAAGGAGTTGCACGAAAGTCATATACTTTCCTATCATTGACCATTTCAACAAGATTTTTCTTCTCTGACAAAGACCCACAAGTTTATTTGCTGAAAATTGTTTATTTTGTTTTATTTTATTTTATTTTTTATGTTATTTTATTTCAAACAAGAAGGCTGGTGGAGAATGACTTAGATAGAGCATTGTGTTGAAAGAATAAATTATTCTAGTCGGAAAATGATTTGAACCAAAACTCTTTAGTAGGATGAGCACATAATTCTAGCTAATATTGTTTAATTCAATGTAACAAACATGCTAGTATCAACTTACGCTTTGTAGCTTAAATTCGAAATCACAAGTGTTATTCTCAATTTTGTAAATGCCTTAAGTTCTTGGATAATAAGTTTAAAGGTTTTCTTATTGATGATGTCAATATTAATGATAGTGACAATATTGATTTTAGTGCTTGATACGTCATTATCCACATCTGAAGAACCTAGAAAAAGTTTCTTTAGGTGATCATTATCTTTTGAGAATAAGAAACAAGTAAATTCTTTTATTACCTTGAAAATGATGGTCTTACCTTTTATTTTGCTTGATTGGCTAGCACTTGGAAAATCATGATTTTGCGCAAATAAGATTGTCGTTACCGTTAGTCCGTTATGAATGGGATGGGCATTAGGACAAGTTACGCATTTGAAATTATGCATTAGTAATGTGATTTTAAACATTAGATAATTATCAATCTATGGCCATTGAACAAGATTTTTCTTCTCTGAACATTAAGACCCACAAATTTGTCTACTAAGTTAATGTTATTCAACACCTAGCTAATTATCGACAAACAGCAATGGGTTTTGTTGACCTCAAAATATGCTATCAACAGATGTCGAACCCACTCATACATGCACAAGCTAATTCTGACATGTAACGACAGATCAACGGTCGAGATCACTTCTAAACTAGATGTGGGAGAAGCTAAACGATACGAGACGTTTCCGTTCGGGTTCCGACGAAATATTCGAGATACGATTGTACAATAATAACCAATCACTATGAAATCAAAGTAAAAGACTGTAAATCAACGTGCGTAAGAAGGAAATAAGTTGCTTTAAGTGCTAAGAGTTGCATCCCCCTTCAATGGTCACATGGGGGAGGTATTTATAGTGTTACAAACGGGATTGAGACCATTGGATAAAATTACACGTGGCCTCATCTTATCGGCCAAAACATCTAATCCTAGCCATCTTTTTGACATTCCTAGCTTACAACGCATTTAATGCTCTTACACCATATTGACAAGACAAGACACAAATATACTTTTACGAATGTCACATGAATCATTCCACAAGGATCTCTAGTCATAAATTCAAGATCTCTGCATATGGGCAGTCAATAACCGAGGTAGAGCCTCGGACTTGATCCGCTTCAGCATGTCCACCTTGGAAGGAGTAACAAGCGTCGTCTTCTATAGCTGATGCTTCGACAAGGGCAGGTCCACAACTATAGTGGGTCAGCCACGTGACAGTGCCAGTGGCAAGTTATAACAATAGTCCCCCAAATCCATGTATAATTATTCATGTTATGCATGGACTTTAATAATAAATGAAGTTTCTATTTCGAAATGGAGAATACTAAAATATGGAGGCTGATTAACTTTGAAGATTGTTGAATTCAATTAAAGATGAGCCAGAAAAGTGTTGAACTACCGAGGCTGATTTCCCTTGAAGATAGCTGAATTTAATTGAAGCTGAGGCAGAAAAGTGCTGAACTACCGAGGCTAATTTACTAATGATAACTAAATTTAATTGGAGCTGAGGCAAAAAAGTAGTGAATTGCCGAGGCTGATTTTCTAATGATTGACCTTGATAACGATGCCAATGATTTGACATTTTGGCACATTACCAGATAAGACAGTTGAAGCGGTACAACTTCCAATACACGTACTATCGTCACATTAAATGTGCAATGATGGCTACGCGAGTTGCAACTATGGCTAACGCACCGAGGCAAGTACGTGATAATCACGAGTTGATCTAAGGCATTGATGAAATAAACTGTTTGAATTCCCTGGCTCAGATGCAGCAAAAGAATGGACGCTTCAGATACGATGGGCCTCGATCCAACGGCTGGGATTGATTCCCTTTTGATATAAAAACCAAAACTCATGCCATTTTTAAACTTTAGTTTTTCGAAATCATTCAAATCCTTTCAAGCATTCGAAATTTTTAAAAAACAAATGGGCATCTCTTCGTTCTTCGGTGATTTTCTAGATCTTGTTCTATCTAGGTATTTTCCTGTGAAATTGTTTTCACAATCTTTATCAACTTCTATAATCTTCATCACTTTCTTTTTTGTCTATTATGGATTCCAAGGTGTTGAGGGATGCAGTTATAGTTGCTAGGTTTAGGGATGAGTCCATGTCTGGGGGGTCAGAGGAGTGGTATACCATGAGTGAGAAACCAATAGATTACGAGGAAGGTTGGGGAGCTACTAAGATTCATTTTACTATGACCTCCAAAAATCTAGCCGAACTTAGGCAAAAATACAGCATTTCACGTTACATAGAACTGTTAGTACCTAAAGCCTACGAACGTGCATGCTTTCGGAGGTCGGGATGTGTGGCAATAAGCGAGTTCCTATTTAAAGTAGGAATGAATCTACCTCTACACCCCTTTTTAAGGGCGGTGCTGAGGACCTTTATGTTGGCTCCTTCCCAGGTTCTACTAAATGGGTGGAGCCAATTGGTTGGGGCCTACTTTCTCTGGAAAGAAGTATCATTAGGCAAGGGTATGTCTCTGCATGTCTTCCGAACCCTCTTCCAACCTAGGGTGTTGGGAGAAGATGAGTCTATGGGGTGGTACTACCTCACTCCTTGGGGGGCTCTGCTCCTTTTTGTTGTGGGGCTTCCTTCCTTCATCAAGGGTTGGACGGAGTCCTAGTTTTGGGTTAGGGGTAGGTGGCAGACTGTGGAGGGAGACACTGTCCCAACCTGCACAATACCGACCCATTACTATGAAGCACGTGAGTGCCTTGTTTCACACATTTTCAATTTATTGTCTGTGTCCTGAACTAACCCTGTTGTCTTATTGCAGATTCAGGTTCAGGCTTCAAACTCCATGAGGTGGAGTGGGACGTAATTGAGGACATCTACAAGCAGTCCTTCAAGCTTCGACCACCTCATAGATCAAAGCAGATATTTTATCGATTTTGGACTGATGGCCCCCAAGGGTATGAGGCTCTTTTAATTGCTGTTTTCATTTCATTTAACTTGTTATAGGTTTTTAACTTTATCTTTTGGGTGGCTTACAAATAAATTTGTGAAGAATGAGTACCCTACTCCAGATATGGCCACAATTCTGAAAGCCACAACAATGGTTGGTGGTAAAGCCCTAAAGCCTTCATCTTCAGGTGCCAAACATGTGAAGGGAAAATTGGCGTACTTCAGCAAAGAGCATGCTGAGAAGGGTGCTGAGGGGAAGGCTCCAAAGAGGTCCCTAAGTGAACGAGGTGAGATGGATAAAGGAAAAGCAAAATAGGAGCCCCAAAAAAAGAAAAAGTTGGTGCATAGCAGTGGGGCCTCGATAAAGTTTGGGACTCTTGTGTCCCACTCCGGCAAAGATGCTCCCCAACTACCCAAGCTAATTGAGTCTACAATGAAGGTGGTGAAGGTTGAGAAGGTTCGGAAAGCCACTGAGGAAGCTGAGAGAGAAGAAGCAAAAGCCTCGGAGGCTGCAAAGAGGACCCAAACAGAGAGGACCCCAGCAAATCCGGTAGATTCATGGCAGGGCGGGATGATAAGATCGCTCATTCGGAATTGAAATGCTGACACCTGATGTCCGAGGCGCTATAGAGAATTTTCACAAGTTCTGGATGGAATGGTGGGAGATCCATGTATCTACCTATGATGTGGTAGACCTAACTGCGGCAATGGTAAGCCAAAGTACCAGAGCCTTTGGAGTGACCCTAGAATGTCAAAATGTTTTATCTGACATTCAGTGAAGGAATAAGGCCTTGTAGATAAGCTTGTTGCTGTTGAGGAAGAAATAAAGAAAATAAACTCGAAAGCTGAGTCGATGAGGGCCCATCGAGCTGAAAACAAGGTGAAGTTGACTTCTACCTTAGCTGAGACAGAGGCTTTGAAGAAAGAGATTTACGAATCTCAGTCTGATGTAGCCTTCTTAACCAAGAAGGTGGAGACCTAACAAAAACCATCAAAAGCTTACTGCTGAGGCTTTGGAGAAGGCAAACCTCCAGCTCACTGGGTGCAAGGAAGCCAACCAGTTCATGGAGAGTGAAATAAAGTACTATGTAGATGAAGTGATTAGGGCTCAAGCTGAGGCTCAACAAGCTGGGGAGGAAACAGTGAAGAATTATGTCACCAGCTTCCATCTAACTAAAGAGTACAAGCAATTCACCACCTACTGGCGAAGGTTTGCCTATGCCGAGGTGGTGGAAAGGGCGGAGGAGATTTACCCCGAGCTTGCCGCATCTGAACTAGGGGCGGAGTTCGTGGAGGAAGTGCCTCAAACTCTTGCTGTGCATGCAGTCGAACAGGAGGCGGACCAAGAGGAAACTCTCGAAGAAGAAGCTTCAGGTTAGAACACTGCTGAGGCATCTACCAACGAGGCGTTGGTACCCCGCCACCTCTAGCATAATGTAGTTTAGGTTTATCTTTTGTAATGGCTACGACCCTTTTAATGTACTGAACTCCTTTAATGAATGAATTTTTTTTGTAATTCAATCTTGTACTGCTTCGTTTATTGTTTCATAATTTCAGCAAACACACTTAAATAACTCGACTTTGTGAAGAACCGTTTTTACTTAGGTACTCGAGAGCAAGGTATCTATTTTTATTCTTCAGTGACATTTCGACATTACTTCATTTCAAATGCTTAACTTGTATAACTTAAGCAAATCACAGTAGAATAACATAACCACATATTAAATAACATAACGTTCTGCCTCACCAACGAATACTTGTGATGTACGCTTCAATGTTCGAACGAGGTAATCTCCTTTGGGATCTGATCCTTTCCTCCGAGAAGTCATACTTTCTTACATGGTGGATGGTTCATTTATGTAAAGGCTTCTCCCTTAACGTTCAGTTTCATCAAGGCGGGGCATATGATGTACGCCTCGGAGTTGTAAGCCCTTTTAAGATTTGATCTTCTCCTTCGAGGCACCTACGCTTTCTTACATGGTTGATGGTTAATCCATGTAAGGGCTTCTCCATTGACGTTTAGCTTCATCAAAGCAAGGCATGTGATGTATGCTTCGGAGTTCAAACGAGAAAATCCTTTTTGGGATATGATCCTCTCATTCTGCCCAACGCTTCTTTACATGGTGTATGGTTCATCCATATCAAGGCTTCTCTCTTGACATTTAGCTTCATCCAGGCGAGGCATGTGATGTACACCTCGGAGTTCAAATGAGGAAATCCCTTTTGGGATCTAATCCTCTCCTCCGATGAGCTACTCTTCTTTACATGGTGGATGATTCATCCATATAAAGGCTTCTTCCATGACTTTCAGCTTCATCAAGACGTGGCGTGTGATGTACCCCTCGGAGTTCAAACTAGGTAATTCCTTTTGGGATCTGATCCTCTCCTCTGAGGTGTCTATACTTCCTTACCTGGTGAATGGTTCATCCATGTAAAGGCTTCTCCTTTGACGTTCAGCTTCGTCAAGGCGAGGCATGTTATGTATGCCTCGGAGTTCAAACGAGGAAATCCCTTTAAGGATCGGATCCTCTTATTCGAGGCACCCATGCTTTCAAACAAATATGTTTTGTACTTTAACTCTTCAAACAAAGTATTTATTTATTTACAAAGGCTGGGAAAAGTCTTCGAGCTATTCAGTACATTCATTGATAGTACATTCTTAAATATTCAATATTCCAAGATGATGTTGTACCCTACCATCTATGTCTGCAATTCGATATGCACCAGGTTGGAGCTCTTCTTTGATAAAGTACTGTCCTTCCCAATTCGGGCCCAAAGTGCCTACTCTTGGCTCCCTAAAGGATAGAAACACTCTCCAAAGCACCAAGTTATTTATCCGAAAGGACCTCTTCTTGACCTTGGTATTGTAGTATCGAGTCATCTTTGTTTGGTAAGCAACCAACTTCAGTTGGGAATCATCTCGTAAAAAGAGAGAATACAACAATGCGTATATACAATATGAGTTGAGTTTCAAGAATACAATTTGAAGAAGGGTGAATTCAGAGGAACAAAAAATAGAACAAGAATAGTTATGTTTTAATATTAAGAAACTTCTTTCAAGAATCAATGTCCGATAATCTGTACTTTCCTCTAAGAATTAATGCATATCTAGAATACCTCGTACAAGTATGAGATACAAAATGATGAAACACAATGTGGAAAAATCAATACGCATGACCCGTATTCATTGACAACAATTTAAGCATTATTTTCAAATAATCAAACATTAAGTTTATAGATCATTTGATGCCTGCATAATTATTTCTGCAATTATAGAAGTTGTAATAGGTTTAATGTTATCATCTGGAAGATGAATCTCACGTCTTTAAAATTTAATTATTATTTTCAGATTAGGCTCGTTTTTTAACACCAATCTTGAAACCTCAAATTGCTCATTTGAATTTTCTGGACTCCGATACCATATTAGGTCTTGATGTTCCATCTTAAAATACCAAACCTTAACAATAGGTGTAACTCAAATATTTGTATGTTTGTTATCTTATTTTATATTTGAATGACGGGGGATTTCACCTCAATTACAAGACATACGCAAACTAAAAGGTATTCTTGAAATGTCTAATGCTTAGTGCTTGTTTAATAAAACATTGCTAAAGATTTCACACTACTTTCATGGATTGAAAGTTGAGGGTCGTGATTAGGACGGGAATGCACACAGACAAAATTGATTGACAAAGTTCATTTTACGTATCCTTCAATTTCATTTTAGAGTTTGTTCATTCTCATTATTCTCAATTCCATGATTGCCATTAAAAAAATTATATATAAAGAGTCTATCATAGAAACAAAAAAGCAGTTTGGTAGTAGAGTATATCAATAAGGTACATGATTATATTCTTCTGGCCCTTGTTGTAAATTATAATGTAAGATCAGTGACACTCTTGACATCATATATTGAAATAAATTCAAATCGTAGGCAGTTAGATTCAAGTCATAGGCATTCAAATTCTAGGCATCATCGCTTACACAAAATTATGCAAAGGAGTAAACACGTTGTTCACATGGCCAAACACGGGGAATATCACTACCACAAACCATACCAATAAAAATAAATCTGCTTACAAGATATTACGTTTGAATAAGAACATGAGTAACTAGAAAATGTCTTGTTATAATGGATATGCATATTCTTGGAAGTTACCGCGGATATAACTCACTTATCGAGGCCTCATTTGTTGATAAATGAGTAGTATAATCTGATTGATCTTTGGATGAATTATCCAGACGAAAGCTACCTGACATGAAAAATGCTGGTTGTGAAGGTTCTGGCAGAGTTAAAGAAAGGCTAGAGAGCATGAGAACCACCGATCCCATTTTAGGTCTATCCGCTGCATTTTTTTGAACACATAACAAACCAATGTTAATACATTTCATAATATCAGGCATGGATCCTGAAGAAGTCCTCAATGTAGGATCTATTATATTTGTAGCTGTTCCTTGGTGCCAATTTTTCCAAACCTGTGAGATTTGGAATGTTTAAATACAATAAATATAACCCTTGGCGGCGTAAAATTGACAAAGACCAAATCTTATCATATTTGTACTTACAAAACTTGTGAGGCTGTCCATACTCTCTTCATTCTGAAAATTACGAACTTTCTGACCACTTATGATTTCCAAAATTAGGACACCAAAGCTGTAGACATCTGATTTAATGGAGAAGTGTCCATGTGTTCCACACTCAGGTGCCATGTATCCCCTGTGATAGTTAGTTTGTAGGTATATCATTAGTTACGAGTTTAATAAAATAACCATCTAGCCATGTTTCGTAATTAACATGACCATATATGTTTAGTTTTGTGCATCACTTCATATTTTCTCTTCCAACTATGTAAATTGCTTACAGTGTTCCAGCTATTTTGCTAGTACTGTGATGAGTATTGTTTTGGTCAAATAATTTTGCCAGACCAAAATCTGAAATTTTGGGGTTCATCTTGCCATCTAACAAAACATTGTCAGCTTTGAGATCTCGGTGAATGATCATGTGCCGAGAATCTTCATGTAGATGAAGAAGTCCCTTAGCAACACCTCCGATGATTATGTAGCGCTTTTCCCAATCCATAAGTGGATTGTTTGGATCTACAATAATGATAATTACCCTCAAATAACTATAATTTGGCTATAATTAATTAGCCATACATACATGAGCAACCTGATTGCTTTAAGAATTTTGAAATATGATTTACTTGAAAGAATAGCAAAATCTTACCACATATGAAGCGGTCGAGACTTCCATTCTGAACCCATTCATATATAAGAAGTCTTTCATTTCCTTCAACAGAGAAACCCAAGAGGCTAACAAGATTCCTATGTTGAAGTTTCGCTAATAGCCTTACCTCATTCTTAAATTCGAGGTCACCTTGCCCTGAACCAGGGGACAACCTTTTTACTGCGATTTCGTTTCCTTCTGGGAGTTTTCCCTGAGATTAAATTACGTGAAAATTACATGAACTTCCTAATTTATTATGTATGACACCTAACAGTTCAGTTAAATACTTAACCTTGTAAACAACACCAAATCCACCTTGCCCCAACTTGTTAGCATCAGAGAAATTGTCTGTTGCAGCTCTTATAGTCCTAAGGTCATATTGTAGGCATTCAATGGTACTGATCTCCCGAACTTGACCAAAGAATAAAGAAATATTTCACGTAAATTGTAACTAAAAGGTGAATAAAGCTACTCGAATAGGGCCTCGGCCATGTTCGAACAGGGGCGCCACTTTGGCAGGGGGTCTGAGTGGCGCCCCCTTGTTGCCCAGCAAGTGCAGCCCCTGTTTGAACAGGGCCAAGGTAGCCCTGTTCGAATAGCATAGCCATTAAAAGGTATCATAAATAGATTTGGATCTACATAAAACTAGAAACGTAAACTTACGGTCAACTTCGTCCCGTGGTGTACACATTTTTTTGGTTTTTAAGTAGATGCCAATGCAAAGAGCAAGTATTAGACACACAACAATTGGAACGATGACAATAATGATAGTTCGAGTTTTATTTTTCCCCTTTCCTGCAAAATTGAAAATAAACCGTGTTAATACCATTTTTAATTTATCTTTGTTTAATCAAAATAATAAACTCATTAAGATATATGTTAGATTGCAAACAAGAAACAGACGCCAATGTTTAAATAGTTCAAATAAATTTAATTTGGACACAAATTATCAACTGCCTCCGCCATTAAGCTTCCGTTTGACTAATTTATAAATGATTTATAAATCTACCAATTATAGGTGAGAAACATTCACTTTCCCATTTTGTCCTCTATACCCTTTTTCAATCTTCATAATTTACATTAATAACACGAATATATGCATCAAGTTATTATTTTAACTTATTACTGTTAGAATATCTCCAAAAGACTCTTTATTAAATATAAAATTCTCTATACATTAAAAAGTCAACCTTCAAATTATATTCTAAGAGACTTTTTAAATTCACATTTTAGAGATTGAATTTGACTCTCCAAATCTGAGGAGCGCCAAACTCACACTCTATAATTAAATGCGTTCAAAGTATTTCAATTTTCAATAGAAGAAAATAATATAATAATTTGAAGAGTTTCTAGTGAAAATAAAATTACGAAAAATAATATATATTTTTTGGAAGTGGTATAATTAAGTGTTAAATATAAAAAACCTGTTGAAGTACTTAAAAGCTATTATAATAAAATTAAGTGTTAAATATAAAGAACTTATAGAAGTACTTAAAAAATTTTCTCTATAAATTTATACTAAATTTATAGATACTTTCTAAATTGTATAATTTGCTCTTTAAAAATATAGAGTTTTTTTTTAGATGCTCTTAAATCACTAATTTAACATTTGAAACTTAGTGATTTGATTAGGTTTTTAGTTTTGAAACATTGTGCTATCGCACGGGTGAAAGGAATGATAAGAGTCGCAGCTCCAAAAAATTATTCCATACAAAAATTAAAAATTTGGAAGGTGAATTTTTTTTTTAAATTGATACCCTCAATTGAGAGATTAGACTAAAGAAAATAATAGGAATGAAGTATGCTATTTTTATTGTACTATATAACACTATTTTAACTTGACAAGTAAGATTGTATCATATATAAAGGATATTGAATATTAAAAAAAAGTCATTAACATAACTAAACAATGAAAGATCTTAAATTTAAAAAAAAAAAAAAAAAAAANNNNTAATGGTTTATAATTCTTTCCAAGTGAAGGCTTGTTTTCATTTGCTGAACTAATGAATTTAGACTTGTTGACTTTATTCTTAAAAATCATTAGTTAAGTAACTCAAGCTAAAAATTGAGTAAGTTGGTTCTCATGAATATTTTGTTATATTAATCACTGTTCGACAATCATTATTTCAAAATTTTTTATTTTACATATTCATTTTCAACCAAACATTCACATAATAAAATATTCTACACATAAATCCAAAAATTTTTCCTACTTTTTAAACACACATTAATCTCCAAAAAATCACTATTCAAAATATTGTTTTGAACAAATAATGACAATCAAACAGGGGATTAGCCTAATCAATCTAAAATGATATAATCTTCCGATGCTTAACCTTTACATGTCCAACTTTTTCAAATTAGAATTTGCTATTTGATACGGACTGATGTTCAGAAATTTAATGTGAAACATGCTTTCATTATGTAACACGATAATCTATTGACGGTTTAAATAGTTTCTATCAGTGAGTTTTGTTTTGTAACTATAATAAAATGTGGTGGATCAAGGTGCTCAATTTTAATGGTTGGGGCCAACTTATTATTAGGATAATAACGTGGGAACAAATGGTACGTCGAAAATTATCTATGGTCCAAAAAAAAAAAAAAGATTCTGTAGACAAAGTCCTTACCCCGACGACTGAGGTGGCGGTGGCATTGGCGGCGTTGGTGGCTGCAGTACCGCTCTAACCATCGTATCGTTGTAGAACGGAAAGCTTTCGTAACGAAGATAGCAACTAGGCATAAGGATTCTAACTCCACTTTCACCCTTACACAGCATTTTCCAACCTTTTGCGCAGATTTTGCTAAGCAATCACCACATTCCGCTGAGGTTATATCAGGTGTGCACTGTGAAAATGCATAAATTGTCGAGTCATCGACAGCCCGAGTGTTAGCAGCAAACTTCATTGGAGAGCTATTATTAGCGGCACGGTCACGAAGACCGTCCAACAGTATGTTCAACTCCCGGTAAAAAACGTCCGTGTTTGTGACTTTTGTCCCACTTCGAGCCCCCTGGTTTGGGACAGTTGCAAGAGTTCCAAAGATAGCCTCGTCGGAGTATCGCACCATACAAAATTCGTGCCATAAAATTGCCTGCCTTTGTCCACGACACTTATTTACGATCTCGGCTGTAGCATTACCAACATAATTACTACATTGAGAAGGCCGAAGATCAGCTCTACAAAGAGCAATGATGTTGACTCTATCAGAATCTTCTCCCATAGAGGCGTTGTAGAATCCACTGGCGCTTATATTAGGCGAAACGGAGGAGAGGAGTGCATCAAGGTTTCTTTTGTACGTGCTATTGCTTGTGTAACTACCACTGTTCATACAATCATAAAATAAAATATAAAAATTTGAGTTGGGAAACCGGATTTGACAAGATCAACAAGGTTTATCAGACAGGTTAAGAAAATAAAATTAGGAAGCCTTTTCCAAGAACTCATTGTTGTATACATGTATATTGTGTTTGTAATATGCAGATGGAGAGAATTTTTGGTGCTATATTTCAGTGCGTGTATATAGGGCGGACCCGAAATTTGCATTTTCTTCTGTCAAACTATATATATAGAATGTGTCTGAACTTATTATATTCAATTTGACTTATATTTATCGAATTGTATTTATTTGATTGATTATTAGTATTGAATATTAGTTATATATTTTTCTTTTCGCTTATTTGAATTGATTGTTTGTATAAAATATATTATAAGATTTTTAAATATAAATATGCATTTTCTTGTGATAAATTTTTTTTTAATAAAATGACTCTTTGAAATCAAATGGATGAAAATGATTAGCAAAATATTAATGAAGAAATGTTTTTTAAATGTAAATATGCATTATCCCGAATCAAGTATGAATTATTCAAAAATCAAAAACAAAGTATTTGATTTGTACATGGTTTGATTATGCCCCACTAATTCAAAATGTCAGTGTCCGCCCCTGTACATAACATTCTAATTATTTAAAATCCGTTTGATATGGAAAATCCACACATCAACCCCCATCATATCACTTCAAAAATATTTTTTTTCACGACCTACAAATTTATTTATGATAAAATTTTATTTTATATTTTGATGTTTAAGTTTAAATGTAATTTATTAGTTTTTTTTTTTTTTTTTTNTATTCCTTTAATGCCATTTCGTTTGGCATAATCGACTCTTAGGGATTTCATTATGTTCTCTCTTTGTGAGTGCGCCGTTTGAGGGTTTTCTCTAGTTTTATTCTCTCTGTAATTCCTTCTCAAATTCCTGATTTGAAAAGACGATCTGTAATATTTTAGCCTTTTGTGATGATATTCTGAGTGAATATATGTAAGGAAGTCTTCGTGCTTCTGAATTTTTGTTTCTGAGGTTCTGAAGCGATTCTTTGTTTACCTTGTAGATCGATTGCTGTACTTGGAGAGAAATAAGTGTCATGTACCATTCTTTGTGATTTAACTGAAAATTTTGTAACCTTTGTTTCAATTTTCGGCGTTATAGTGGAACCGAGCATAATCCAATCTATTGGATGCTCAACGGAGGATGTAGGCGTTACAACTGGTCATCGAACCTCTGTGGCTTAGATCGAAATATATCAATTGTGTTTCTATAATTTTTTGCACTTTATTTCAGAGAAAATTTTGAAGGATTTTGTAATAAAATTAAGTATCATCACGCTTCAAGCGTGTTATAAATTTATCAAATGTAATTTATTTTATTTAATTATACTCTTCGAGAGCAAGTAAAATCTAATTAGAATATTAATAATAGTGTGTTATTTTAAGAGCAACAATATTTGTAATAGACAAATCTACGATTAATATTCTTCTAAAAGCAACAACATAATAAATTATTAATTTAAAATTTATAGAAGACCATCTAAAAATATTTAATTACCATATAGACATAATATGAATTTATATAGAAAAATTAATTATCAAAAATGTATTAGCAAAAAAAATTTCCAAATATGCATTAGGAAAAAAAATCTTCATATATCGAATTTAATGGTAGAATATTGTATAATGGAATACGTTCAATGAAATATGTTCAGAAGCATACTGTAGAATATTTATGCATAAAAATATTTATTAATGCAAAAATCATGATGGTAGTTTATATAAACATGAATTAATTCAAAGACATGTAATTAATTCATACGATTAATTCAAAGACGTGATTTTATGTACATGCATGAATCATAAAGATTGTACAGACATGAATTCAAGCATATGTACATATATGAATTGACTAAATTCTATATAGACATGCAAATAGACATGTATACAGATGTGAATTGAAAAAGCAAGTTAGAATTTAACTGCAAGTCTGCACCGTTATAATGTATGTGTATATTTAAAAAAAATTCACATGTTGTTAAACTAATTTTGGTACATATGATAGATGATTATGCTTAAAAAAATTACTAAATTCACTAAATTTTGAAAAATTAAGTTATCGTGTTGATAACGTACGTATTGTAAAAAGTGAGAATAAAATAAGAGAGAATAAAAGTCAATAAATTTATGTGTGTTATAATGAGAACCACAAAAATTAATTTGGTAACATGTGAATTTTTTTTTTTAAAGTCAATAGATTTGTGTGTATTATAATGAGAATCAAAGTTCTATATTTATAGGAAAAGAATAAAGATACATATGGTAATAATTTCTAGGGTTGTAGGGGTACAATTGTCATTCACCAATAAACTTACCATTTACAACACTAATCACTTTTTAATTTAATTTTCCTTGTATGTTTGATAAGCCCTGTTGCTATTGTCAAATCCCAATTCCTAATTCCAATTAATATTCATTTTAAATGTCAAAATAATGGTAGTTACGCAGTGATGGCATGTACGATACTAACCTTGGTAAGATATTCAGTTGAACAAAATTTACTGCCACGTGCAATTCCATTTACCTAGCATCATTTATGTTAGTTTGACTGATGTAGGCTGGTGGATGGACTAACGGTCTACATTTTGTTAAGTTGGAAGGACTAAAAATGTACATTTTAAAGTTTAAAGACCTTTTTCGCTCAAGATGTGAAGTTTAAGGACCAACCAGGATTTTTACCCATAATATTTGCTATTAATTGGTGGTAATATGATACATTCACAATTACAAAGAAAATAAGCCCCTGTTTGATAATGTGTGAAGAATATGAACAGGTTTGTCATACGCATCTAGAAGTTACCAACGAATTTTAATTACTGATTAGGAGAGAAATTTCTAAGAATTTCATATGGATCACTAAACTTCCTTTTTGTTACAACTGGTTATATATTGAACATAATAATGTGTTAGTTTGATAGACGCAAATATTGACCAGCGAAGACAACTGCAAGGCCACGTCACATTTAATTTTTAACCGTCAAACTAATAGATATGATAAAGTGATCAATTTGAAACAAAATAAAATGTAAATCGGTATAAAATTTCTCTAAAAGTTTTCTGACCATCAATGGGGTAAATACACTAATAACCACTATACCTATCACAATATTTATTATTAGTCATTGAGCTTTAAAGCATCTTTGACTAGCCACTAAACTTACCAAACACTCACACCATGTGGGGTTGCGCTTTTTTTTTAAATACACGGTGGAGTTCCTTCATTGTGAGTGTTCTGGTGCATTTATGTTGAAGTGTTTTTGTACAAATGGAATTACACTTCTTAAATTGACCTCATCATCGTGTACTCCAAAAATTGTATTGGTCTTGGTCTTCTCATTATTCACACGCGACAAGGCACACTAGTTGGTTTCAAGACACGTGGCCTACACCTTGGACCACTATTTTTTATTATTATTTTTAACAACTCATCTCGAGATTATCAATAATCTCAACTCAAATCAAGATTCGTAAATTGACCTCATCATCGTGTACTCCAAAAATTGAATTGGTAATTAAATTTGCCAAGATTCTTATTATTCATTACTTTTCATCATTATGTTACCAATATCTCATTTAATTAAATTGAACACATAAGATAAAATATAATAGAGTAAAACTATTGAATTAAATATCTTGTAGGCCATTGTACTTTCCACAATATTTTTCATTTACCACTACATTTTTCATAACGTCCTTGACTAGCTAATGAACTTTTGTAGCAAGTGAAAACTAACCGTCAAATGTATCACATGCGAATATCTATTATCAATTTCATCCATTCTGTCTATTTTTTAATGGTTAACGATGAGCGAAGGATGACGTAATGATTTAATAATTTCAGTTGCTAATTATCGACATTTTAAAGTTCTGTTCCTAATGGTAAACATTGTGGAAATTATAGTTGTCATTTGTGAATTTAACCTACCACAAGTGTTTTTAATTTATTCATTACTTAACTTGGCTCAATAATAAAATTTGTAAGATTTTAAATGTTTTCTATTATTCAAAACAACTATAGAAAATAAAATGAATAAATTTAAAAGTAGAACGAAAATAAACGAACAAATAAATTTAAACCTGTAAATTAGTTTGTGACTCTCATTCGTTGGAGAAAATTCTTGTTGAAATGGTTAATGATGGATAACAACTACTAGCCTGTTGAACATTTTGTCATTCGTTACACATTAGTTTTCGTTGATTTTCAGAAAAAATAAAATTTAAAAGAGAAAAGAGAAAAAAAGTCCCAAATTCCAGTGGGGGCATGTGGACCCACGGATCCCCCATCCCTCTACGGAGCCGGCTGCGTATCCGATGGTGGCATTGACATCTTTGGTATTTCAACCATCGTCTCATTGTAGAATGGATATGTTTCAAGACAAAGATAGTAACTAGGCCTAAGAATTCTAAATCCTCTTACACCCTCACAGCATTCTCAAATCCGTTGGGCAGATTTTGGTTATGAGTTTAATGATGATAAAAAAATATTAAGACAATATTAAAAACAACATAATTTATAAATTACACTTGTTCCTTTCAAGTTTTTATACGTTGATATCGTTGTACAATAACTTCATTATCGAGCTTCAAAAACATATCTTTCTCTACATAAACAATTGTGCTATCATTCATCCACTGATAATTCATCCGATTACGCAATTTATCCTTTACAATACTCGTTGCAGAAAAGACTCTCTCCACAGTAGCGGTAGCAACCGGTAGAATCAATACTAAAGTCAAAAACTTGTAAACCAATGGATATACCATATTTTNAAAGCTGAGCAAGTCGAATCAAACTTTTCTTGTCATACGAAGAAAATGAATCTTGTGGACATAAACAAGCTACACAAATGAGTAACTCTATATTTACATCCGAGAAATGGTCATTCAATTCATAAATTTGTAGATCGATGACAGAGTAGAAAAAATCTACCCTATAATGGTGTAA